GTCACATACACACACAGACAGAGAGACAGACGGACACAAATACGTACAGACACATACCTACACACACACACACACACAGATATATATATTTATTTATATATATATATATATTAAAAAATGCTGGTAAATCGTCGACATCGCTTTGTATCTATTAGTTTTCATCATCACTTAGTTTTTTAACAACTTTAGTAACTAAATTTTGCTTCGCTCCAGCCATTTCATTCTCATTCACTCGAGAATGAATCAAGAAACTGCACGCTACTCTAACTTCAATAGAATAAATAATGACGATAAGAATTTGGTTAGAAATATTGAGAAATGTGAGGAAAAAAAACTATCCAACGCTAGAAATTCGGTAGATTTCATAAATTACTTCATTAGTTATGGTCTTTTACCAGCATTTAGATTATTATAGATATTTATTTATATATCCTTTATTTTTTAAACACAACAATCACATATATATTTATACATGCTTATACATTAGATACCCTAGCTAAATCTATCATAGCTAGTCTGAAAATTAAATAATAGTTATTATAAAATAACCACAAGAACATTGATATTGGTAACGGTAGGTATCAATGAAATTAATCAACCTACAATTGTTTGATGCACCGTAATGAAATGTTTTCAAACAGAAAAACCACACAAAATATACAAACCAATACACACATAAGCCCGCAGACAGTTATACAAACAGACAAACCCACACAAACTTATAGACACGTGTGTATAATTTCATTTTTAATCGCTGGGAGTTTTTTTTCTCTCCGGACGTTAAACAATTGCACTGTTATGAATCAACATTATGTTGGTCGCTTTCTGCTGCTTGCTAATGTTGTTGCTGATGTTGTTGTTGCTGTTGTTGATGTTGTTGTTGATGTTGTAGTTGTTGTTGCTTGGTAGTTGAAATCGCACACTGTTGATTCTAGGCGTTTTGGGAGTGTTTGAGCCAAGGTTTGCACAAGAAATAACATCGTTGGTTTCGAAGTTGTCGTGTCGTTGCAACAAAAGTGTGTCGTAAGATGCGCTGTTGTTTGTCGGTTGTTGCGAACTTACTGTGTTGTTGTTGTCGATGATGTTGTTGTTTTTGTTGAGCAAATCATTCGGCAACATCTCAACATTTTGTCGGTTCTTTTGTCGCTGTCCAGCCACACACGATTCGACGACGTCAACCGGTTTAAAGGTACTGAAAGTCGGAATCACGACTACAGGCTGCTGCTGCTGTTGTTGCTGTGTTGTATTTCTGGTGAAAATTTCCGAAAACAAATTTTCAGATCTCCTCAAATCAACGACATTGTTCAAGCTTTTAAACGCGCTACGCGTGTCGAAAATGTCCGCATTGCTTGTACTGATATCATTGTTTTCGTTGCTGTTAAAAATATTGTTGTTGTTGTTGTTATTACTATTATTATTATTGTTGTTGTTGTTGTTGTTAATAATTC